AAAGAAAATGTGTACACTGTTTTATCTTTTTCTCAAGTTCTATTAAATGGTGTAAATGGAGGTTCTTTGCTCTTCTCCTCACGATTTTTCAGTTCCTCTTCATTTGTAGCACCCAAATACTCCCGTGTATTTAGATTAGAAATCCCTCCACATTCACAGATTTCAATAATACAACATATCAATCTCTTCATATTCAAATAAATATCTCTAACCCTTCACATTAATTCACATAAACAATGCTACATATAACACATACAACATATCAATCCCTTTACATTCACATAAATATATCTCTCTCTATATATAAATATTTAATTTAATATGAATGTTAAGCATTTGTATTTATGTAAATCTGAAGGGATTAAACACATCCACCAAACATTTTTTTTTTTTTTTTTGGTTGGATAAGGTAAGAATTAAATAGATGAGACAAAATCAATGTACAAAGATACAAGGGGCATACCCCAAGCGAAGACACAAAATCTCAATTAGAACATGGAAACATCTACAAAAGTCACAAACAACACAAAAAGAGCACACGGGCTCCTCACAAAAAACTAATCAGGCAAGTGCCATATCGAACAAAGTTGGGTCGAGATCTCATACTTGGGCGTTAAACCCAAAACCTTGGCCTGAACTAGATTGCATATAGCCAACACAATATCTCTGCGAGAGTTGTAATGCTGATGGAACACATGATTATTCCGTTTATACTATAGTAGAAAGGACTAACTGCGAAAGAAGGTGTCCGAAGTCCCCTTTGCGCTTGAGATGCAAGCTAGCCCCTAGGAACAAAAAGAACCAAGAGAAAGACGGCCAAGCAATGAGCGGCCTAGCAGTAACCTCTTGCCAAACATAAGAAGAGAAGTAACAACTAAAGAACAAATGCTCATGAGTCTCTTCAGTAGACCTGCACAAAAGGCACATAAAAGATGCAATGACACTGTGAGAGCTAAGATGATCCATGGTGTGAAGCCGACCAAGAGAAGCGAGCCATAAAATAAAGGAGTGGCGTGGAACATGCCCTGGAAACCGCAAAAGATGATGAATCGAGTTCACAGCTCGTCTGTCTCGTAACACATTCTAAGCCGAGTTAATGGAAAATCTGCCAGAAGAATGACCTTTCTAGACAAAATGGTCAGGAAGACCCACTAAAGGTTGCACCGTAACAGAATCTCAAATATGTGAAGATCTGCATTACTTGAAGGAAAAACCCATGAGCCATCTCAAACGATATTCGAAACCCAAGCACCCCAAGGCAAACCAATAGAAGTCAAAGTCCTAAAAAGAAACAAATCATATAGACGCACCTACGGTAGCCAATGATCCTGCCATAAAGAGGTATCTCTGCCATCACCTATACAAGTCACAATAAGACCATGACACCAATCTCTGTTGAGAAAGATCTTCCTCTAGGACCATGCAGCCCCAGAGATAACCTAAACCTATCATAATGATCAACCACGGAGGAGAACCAAATGAACCCAAAAGGACCAAATAGAGGAGCGATCACTAAGAAGTCTTTAGACATGCTTAAGAATATCTGCCTTATTCCAATCCTGAATCATTTTAATGCCCAGACCACCATCCCTCAAAGGATAGCAAACAGATGACCATGCAACCTTGGCACCTGAAGAGGACAAAGAAGTATCCTTCCAATGAAAAGATGCCAAAATACTCTCAATCTGCCTAATAGTAGCTATCAGAAGAAGAAACATAGAAGACCAATAAACTTCAATGGAAAAGAGTACCGACTTGATTAATTGAAGCTGACTTGCAGCGGTCAAAGATGTCAAAGTGCATAACCTAATCCAAAACAAAATTTGCTCCAACAAAGGCCTATAATCAGAATGCCAAAGCTGGGTAAAGATCAAAGAAACTGCCAAATATCTGACCGGTAACACCCCCAATTGGAATCCTAAAAGAGATTGCAACCCAACTCTCTTATCATCTGTAACTCTAGAAAGAAAAAAACTAGCACTTCTTTGAATTAGTGACCAAACCAGAAATCCTAGCAAAAGAATCCAAGGACAATTTAATCAAACTAACAGAGGAAACATCTACATGACAAAACACCATCAAATCATCCATAAAACGCAATTGAGTAACAACTGTCTGACTACATCTCCAATGATAATGGAACCCAGGGCTCTAAGGGTCTTGAAGAATACCAACCAACCCCTCGATAGCCAAAACAAAAAAGAAAAGAAGAAAGAAGATCACCTTGCTGAACACCTCGAGAGGACTGCAAAAAACCATGGAGCTCTCCATTCAGGGTAATAGAGAAAACCGGTGTAGAAATACATGTCATAATTCACCTCACCATACACTTAAGAATCCCAATAGTGTGTAACCCCAATAAAATGAAATCTTAGCTCACAATGTCAAAAGCTTTCTGAATATCAACTTTAAGAGCACATCAAGGTGAAGTAGCCCCAAGATGATAATTCTACAAAAGCTCATAAGTCAACAAAATGTTATCAAAAATTTGCCGCGTTAGAACAAAAGCAAATTGAGAACTTCTAATGACATCCGGAAGAACTACTTTAAACTGATTCACAATCACCTTAGTAATGAACTTGTACAATATATTACAACAAGATATTCGTCTAAAGTCAATCATACGACTCGGGTTCTACACCTTAGGAACTAAGGCAATCTTGGTAGCATTAACACATCTAGGCATCTCATTAGTAGCAAAGAAATTCCCCACTACGTCTCTGAAATCAAAACCAATAAAATCCCAAGCCCTCTTAAAAAACAGAGAAGTATACCCATTCGGATTCGGAGCTTTATCATCCAGGATGTAAAATAAAGCAATCCAAATCTCATCATCTGTGACAGGAACAGTCATAGGGGATATCATATCAGAAGAGACACAACCAGAAAAGTACTTGGAAGCCTCCTCAACCTGAGGCTGCGAAGGGGTAAAAAGTAGACCTTGAAAAATCCTCATCGCCAACTGCCCTAAATCCCGATAGCTAGTAATATAAGTACCATCCTCATCAGTCAAACTGTGGGTACAATTCCAAACCTGCCTATGAATCAGCGACTTATGAAAGAACTTAGTATTTTGATCCCCTAAATTCAACCACTGAATACGAGATGCTGCTTAAAGGAAGCCTTCTCATCTCTGCAAAGACAGAAATACCGATTGGCAAGGTCCCTTTCCTAATAGATACACTTAATAGAAAAAGGGTTCTTGTCTAGATTAGCTTGGGTTGTCGCCCACTAAGCCTAAGCCTTAATCACCTTGCTAGAAATATGGCTATAATCTCATAAATGTAAAGATTTGAGCTCCCGTTTCAACAACCCCAATTTCTGTGTAAGCCGGAACATAGGATCGCCTGCCATAGGCCCATCCCATGCTACCTGAACAATATCAATAAAATTTGTGCGATCAGCCCAAAATTTGAGAAATTTAAAAGGGGTGGGTACCTTTCCTTGGATAGAACCAAAACGAACAACCATAGCACTTTGATACTGTGGTCGGTCGATCAGGAAAGATATGCAAAGACCCAATCAAGCTTTCGTAAAATAATCTCATCACCATGCTAACCATTATGCCATGTATACTGAAGCCCAGTATAAGGAACCCCAATCAACTCAACATCATGAACACAATGACCGAAATCATCCATGTAGCCATACCACTCAGAATCACCACCCACTTTATCTAAAGCCCCCATAATAGCACTAAAATCACACAATACAAGCCATGGCAAAGCCGTCGAATCAAACTCCGCAGCTTGAACCCTAAGGAAATCCCACAGATCATGGCGATTACTAGGGTCGTTAGAACCATACACAAAAGTGACTCCAAAAGAGAAACCCTCAAAAATGTGAGTAACCCTACAAGTAACCTCCTGAAAAGATACATGAAGGCTATTTACAGAACAAAGAGAAGAATCCCAACATACCAGAACTCGGAAAGCAATAGAATATTTCGCATTTAACAAAAATTGGCAAGAAGGACAAACTGTCAAAACCATAGACTACAAACGAGACTGCTCAACCTTAGTCTCCAACAAACCAATCAAACCCAAAGAAGAATTGGATATCCAATTCCTCACTACATGCTGTTTCGAGAAGTTGTTAAGGCCCCTAACATATATTTTATAATATATATATATATATATTTAATATATATATATATGTGTGTGTGTTGTGTGTGTGTGTGTGTGTGTGTGTGTGTGTTGTGTGTGTGTGAATTTTTAATAGAGTTCTATTAAATTTGATAAAGGTTTGCTAAATCCCAAACCGTTCAATGCCATGACATAAGGTAGTAATATAAAACCAACAGTTACATTTGAAGGATACAAGATAGAATCCAAATCAATGAGCAACAATAACTATGAAATTGTGAATGAAGGGAGATTTTATTTTTCTCTCCAATATCCTAGTATAACAACCCACTTAAGCCATTATGTAGAATTCTAATTATTAACAAATAATATTAACTATGAATTTTCTAACTCTTTGAAGTTTCTTGTAACTTTTTTCGATTTCTCTAATTCTTCCAATCATTTAAAATTAGAAAATCAAAGAAGATAGTCTTGCATCTTTATACCAATTCTTCTTCTTCTTCTTCTTCTTTTTCCTCATTCAAAACAAAGTTAAAAACATAAATCTCTTCAGGTTTGATATAACACATAAATCTCTTTGAGATTTCATAAAATCAAAAATTATTTTATTATTAATAAACCATTAATGAGTTATTAAAACATACTCTATTATGAGTTTATAAATGTTTATTCAATTACTCTCATACAATTTATTTTAACAACACAAACTTCGACGGTCGAGAAAACTTTATCATTTTAAAAACTTCATTGATTTTTTTTTTTTTTTTTTTTAATCAAATCTACTGCTATGCCCATGTTTTCGTATCTAGAGTTGTTGCCTTTTGAAATCGACAATGGTGGGCTAGTAATTAAATGTAGTGTGGGCCGTTGACAAAAACAACATCAATCTATCTACTCCCTGCATTCACCTCACCATAAATCAGTCCAGAGTCCAGCCATTTTACTTCATCCATCGCAAACATCGAACACCCTTGTCTAGCCAAAATGTCACCTGGCAAACAAGCTGCCACGTCCAACACCAGAAAAAAACTCTTTTTAGCCCTCTTTGCTTCACTCTTAATAGTCACAGCCATAGTTACCACTGTTGCCGCCGTATCCAGGAACAAATCCACCAACATCATCACCGACCAAATAGCTACTCATCCTGTCGTCAAGTCCTCCTGTAGCCTTACATTCTACCCGCAACTATGCTTCTCAGCTCTCTCTACAGTTCCAGACGCCGCATCAAAGATCACCTCTCCAAAAGATGTGATAGCTATGTCACTTAACATAACTATAATTGCAGTCCAGAAGAATTACTTCAGTATCAAGAAGCTCACTATCACTCGTAAGAGCAGCCTCACAAAGCGTGAAAAGGCTGCTCTGCATGATTGTCTTGAATTGGTGGATGAAACTCTTGACGAGCTCCACAAAATTGAAGATGAACTCCAGGAGTACCCGGCCGTAAACAAGTCTATATCCCAACAAGCTGATGAACTCAAAATCTTGTTGAGTGGCGCTATGACCAACCAAGAAACTTGCCTTGATGGCTTCTCTCATGATAAGGCTGATAAAAAGGTTAATTATTTACCGGCTTTATTAATTCCAAGCATCTTCGTAATACTAACTACACTCTTTTTAATGTTTAAAGGTTCGTAAGGCATTGATGAAGGGTCAAATGCAAGTGTTCAAAATGTGCAGCAACGCACTGGCGATGATCAAGAACTTGACTGACACTGATATGGCGAATGAGGTTGAGACTTCAGGGAGGCATCTTGAGGAGGTAGAAAATGAAAAGGGGTGGCCTGAATGGTTATCAGCTGGAGACAGGAGGCTGCTGCAGGCCACAACAGTGACTCCTGACGTTACTGTGGCCGCTGATGGTACCGGAAATTACCGGACGGTGTCGGAAGCGGTGGCGGCTGCACCAGAGGGGAGTACCAAGAGATACATTATAAAGATTAATGCTGGGATTTACAGAGAAAGTGTGGATGTACCCAAGAAGAAAACTAACTTGATGTTTGTAGGAGATGGGAGGACTACCACCATTATTACTGCTAGCAAGAATGTGGTTGATGGTAGCACCACGTTCAACTCAGCGACTGTCGGTGAGTGAGTTAATCACTAGTTCATCGTGATATTATTTAATTTCTTTATTGTTCATTTCATGTTAAGCATAGTTTCTCTAGAATTGCAATTAAATGATCTAATCTCACTGAGGTTTAAATAATTTAGGAAGTATCTGTTTGGGAATGTGATCATGTTCTACCTAACTTTTAAATGCAGGAAATATATATTTATTTGGGCTTAATAACTTTCTGATGAAGTAGTCAGTTTTCAATAGGGACGACAGGATAAGTTAATCAATATGGATCTATATGATTAATTTGTCGTGTCTTGGGAAATATGGGTTTTTAAATTTTAGTGTTAATTAATCAACGATATCCATTATGGTGTACTGTAGAAAGCCTGAGGTTTGAGCTCATTCTTATGAATCATTTAAGATATTTGTCGGTGAGTGTTGACTATAATTTTGGGTTCTGTAGCAATTAAATTTGATCTTGTGGACTAGCTGTTGACGCATGTGCGCTTTCTAATTTCTATGCTAGCTGTCTGATAGAAACGCTTCGTAGAAATGAAGCCAAAGGACCCCATTTGTATAATTTATATCTATCTGAGTCACCCTAGAAACTCGAGCTGTATATGTAGGCCACATTCAGTGGATAGACATTGGATCTTCTTATATTGCTTTGGGAGGCATCTGAATGAGTTTCAGTGCATTAAAGTTCAAGTGTCAAAGACTAGATGAGGATAAGACAGCAGCTTTTAATTTGTTTTTACTTTTTGATCTGGGCCGAAGTACTTGGATTCAGAGATTATTACATAAATTTTTAAAGGGAAAACGTGATACTCTTGGTGAAAATTAAACCCTCTAAACACACAGGGTTTAGTTTACTATAAAAATAACCTCTTATCTTAATATAAACTGAATATGTGTAATTCTATTCAAAATTCTTATGACAAACTTTCAAGTAAGTTCGTTTATGGTCCCAAATACCTGGGTTAAGAGATTATTTCATATATTTTAAAATGACTTCATTCTATTTCACACCATAAACATTAAAAAATCACAATGCTGGACAGGACAACTATGTACAAAATGCATATCGACTCTTAGGCAATTTTGCATCTGGGTTGCTAATAATAAGAATGTTATATGTTGCAGCTGTAGTTGGAACTGGGTTCTTGGCGAGGGACATAACCTTTCAAAACCATGCTGGACCATCAAAGCACCAAGCAGTGGCACTGCGTGTAGGCGCAGATTTTTCAGCATTTTACAGATGTGACATGTTAGCATACCAGGACACCCTCTATGTCCACTCACTTCGCCAATATTATGTGAGTTGCATTATATCAGGCACAGTGGACTTCATATTTGGAAATGCAGCAGCTGTGTTTCAAGACTGTGACATTCATGCTCGCCGCCCGAATGCCGGGCAAAAGAACATGGTCACAGCACAAGGGCGAGACGACCCTAATCAAAACACAGGCATAGTGATCCAAAAATGCAGAATTGGTGCAACTTCAGATTTACAACCTGTAATCAGCAGCTTTCCAACATATTTGGGCAGACCATGGAAGGAGTTCTCAAGAACCGTTATAATGCAAACTGATATTAGTAATGTGATAAATCCAGCTGGGTGGTTTGAGTGGGATGGCAATTTTGCACTTGATACATTGTTCTATGCAGAGTATGCAAACACTGGTGCTGGTGCTGACACATCAAATAGAGTGACATGGAAAGGATACAGGGTGATTACAAGTGCAAGTGAGGTCCAAATGTTTACAGCTGGGAATTTTATTTCAGGGGACAGTTGGTTAAGCGCCACTGGTTTCCCTTTCTCCCTTGGTCTTTGAGGTCGTATCATAGCTTAGCTGTGGCCTTTCTCCTATGTGTTAAATAATGATTTGGGCTTAACATGAAAATTGATATTTGTTAAATTGTCTTCCAGACATTTTGAACATTTTTGTTGTGTAAGGTCCCCTCAAGTTTGATATATCTCTTCAGGGATTATCGAGAAAATTTAATGCATTGCTCTCTAAAGATATTCCATCTGATGAGCAAAATCTGCCATAGATGAAACAGTCCAGGGTGTATATCCAGCAATAAGTAAAAATGAGAATATGGTTTGAAAAAAAACTTGCCTCTGAAAGTTGGTGGATCTTCTCAGCACTAGAATTGCTATTAACATGAATATCATTATTCCGTGGCCTCTGAAAGTTGGAAGGATTATTATTCACTTCACACAGGATATATTTTACAAATGGAACACGGGCAGTATTTATAGGAAACCAAACTGCCAAGAAATCCCATCTGCTTGACACCTCAAGCACACTAGTCCCAGTACTGCTTCACTTTGCCATTTCTGATCAACTTAAAAATTCACTCACTAGTGGATGAAGAGTGTTGGAATATTCACTCTCTTCAAATGTTACAAAATTTGGAAGGATTATTATAACTACAGAATTTGTAGCATTGACATCATACATAACATGAATGATTGATGAATTTGTTGATAGAAATTCCTATGTGGCTCAAACTTATGCCTCTTGTATCTATTTATTGTAATAGTGAAGCAATTTTGTCAAATTGGTAACAGTAAGTTAAGCTACGACTAGTTATCTGAGACAAATGCTTACTGATGGGGTAGTCACAATCACTCATGAAATCATGCCAAAACTTGCCATACACCTAACTAAACGCCTTCCAAGGAATTTAATGTAAAAGACGTCAAGGGGATGGGATTGAAGCCAACAGAATATAATCACCAATGATAGTTACTCTACTCAATAATTCAAATAGATATAGGCAAAAAGCCTGGGCCCAAAAACTGGTCCCTGGACCGGGCCCTAGGGAGGGTGACTGGTCCCAGGCCCGGGCTCAATTAATTTTAAAAACCCCCTAATGCAGTTACCAAAACCCCTCTGACGAATTACCAAAACCTCTATAATATATATATGAAATGCATAATAAATTTAGGGATTAAAAATAATTTTATAATTATAGGGTAAATTGAAAGTTTTAGCCCCATAGGACCGGTCCTTGGACTGGCCCTAAACAGGTCAGGACTGGTCCTAGCTAATTTTGGCCCGATCCCTCAAGGATAGAGCCCAAATTGGGACCAGTCCTAGTTGGGATCAGGCCTAGGACAGTCGGGCACAACTTTTGCTCACCTCTAAATTGAAACATCAGGATCTTTGGTTTTCTGAAGTAAAGTATACTTCACACTTAATACGAGAGATTGGAAGCACCGTAATATTATGTACTATGTAGTGCGTCCCAAAGATGAAAGTGTTTGGTACCTGTAATTGGGAAAAGGTTATGCTTAAAGCTATTAATAGATTTATAACAGATTTTTATTATAATGTTTAGTTACAGGAATATTCCTTATAAGATGGACCTATATGAGTGTAAGAGTGTTGTCGTTTCTCATGCAACTTGACTGGTTACAGTCACAGAGTGTATAAAAAACAAAATATAAACACGGGGCAAATTCATGTGTCGGATCTTTACTTATATGAGTGATAGCAAGGGTGTTCAATATTAGACATTTGGGAATAGGTTCGTTTATGTTTGGAAGGATAATCAATCAACTTCAACAAGATATCCAGCATTCAAAACGTAATGTAAAGCAAACCAAGGGATTTTTACATAGTTCGACTAAAATCATCCATAAGACCAAAATCCCAGCTCAATCAAATCAACTAGCATCAAGCGAAAATGTCAATACAAGATAGAAATCAAATACATCAAAAAGTAAACATCCATGTTTATAAATTTAACTTCACTCTCTTGATTGAACACACACTCAACCACGATCTGATTGGACCCAAACAACCTCTTGGATGACCCAAGCTCCACTCGAACTTGGACAACTGAAATCACTTTTCAGCTCACTGCTTGCAACTTCCTTCTAGCTTCACCAATGGAACCACGTTCCAACAAATACTCAACAACAAGATAAGATCATCAAAATATTGAGCAATAAACAATAAAAGGAACTTGACCAAATGAACAAATTCTATAAGAATTTTAGAAAACAAAACAATGGAATATTCAGGTTCAAAAACGCAAGGAAGAAGATGATGAAAATATGTAATTCTTGCTTAATTAACCAATCTCATCAGTACACGTAGCAAACAAACTCTACCAATCTTTGTTGGACCACTGACAATTTCTAACAATCTTTGTTGGACCACTTTAAGACAAACAGACACTAAAAATGTCACATGTATTGAGAGATCAGATCAAGAAAATGTATACACAATTGAGAAAAATGTGCAGACATATTTACAATATGTCAAGATCAAGGAAACGTGTATACATATTTGCAATATGTAAGGACATGTGTAGACTACGTACATGATTATGCTTAAACTACTTAATATGCTAACATTGAAATAAATGTAAACACATATCTGACAAATACTCTTCCAGTTCGGTACCTGTAATTGGGAAGGTTAAGCTTAAAGCTATTAATAGATTTTTAATAGATTTTTATTAAAATGCTTAGTTATAGGAATATTCCTTATAAGGTGGACCTATATGAGTGTAAGAGTGGAGTGTTTATAAAAAACGAAATATAAACACGCGGCAAATCTGTATACAACATTTTGTACTTATTAAAGTTTCAATTTCACTTCTCTACATATTTTCTCCGCGTATTTCTCTAATAATAAACAATAGTAATTTTCATTTCTATATCGGTTGCCTTCTGAAATCTACGATGAGCTACTACAATTAAATGTCCTGTAGGCCAACTGAAAACAACAATGACATCAATCTATCTTCTCACTACTCTCGGCTCTCTATAAATCACTCGTCCTGCCTTTCTACAATGCTCATTACAAGCCTTATCTAGTAAAAATGTCACCTTCCGGCACACAGGTTGCCACATCCAAGATCAGGAAAAAAATCTACTTTGCTCTCTTTGCTTCACTCTTAATAGTCACAGCCATAGTTACCATTGTTGCCGCCGTTATCTCCAGGAACAAATCTACCAACAACATCGATTACAAAATAGCTGCTCACCCCGTCGTCAGGTCCTCCTGCAGCCTCACATTTTACCCGCAACTATGCTTCTCAGCGCTCTCTAAAGTTCCAGACGCCGCATCAAAGATCACCTCTCCAAAAGATGTGATAGCAATGTCACTTAACGTCACTATAACTGCAGTCCAGAAAAATTACTTCAGTATCAAGAAGCTCACTAGCGCTCGTTCGGGCGGCCGCACAAAACGTGATAAGGCTGCTCTGCATGATTGTCTTGAAATGGTGGATGAAACTCTTGACGAGCTCCACAAAATTAAACAAGAACTCCAGGAGTATCCGGCCGTTAACAAGTCTATATCCCAACAAGCCGATGAACTCAAAATCCTGTTGAGTGCCTCAATGACCAACCAAGAAACTTGCCTTGATGGCTTCTCTCATGATAAGGCTGATAAAAAGGTTATTTTAACTAGTTTTACTTTTTAATTTTTCTAATATAACATCTTTGTAATACTAACAGAACTCTTTTTAATATGTTTGAAGGTTCGTAAAACATTGATTAAGGGTCAAATATATGTATTTAAGATGTGTAGCAATGCATTGGCCATGATCAAGAACTTGACTGACACTGATATGGCCAACGAGGTTCAGACCTCAAGAAGGCATCTTGGGGAGCTAGAAAATGAAAAGGGGTGGCCTGAATGGTTATCAGCTGGAGACAGGAGGCTGCTGCAGTCCACAACAGTGACTCCTGACGTTACGGTGGCTGCTGATGGGACCGGCAACTACCTGACGGTGTCGGAGGCTGTGGCTGCTGCACCAGCGAGCAGTAGCACTAGATACATTATAAAGATTAAAGAGGGGGTTTACAGAGAAGTTGTGGATGTACCGAAGAGCAAAACTAATTTGATGTTTGTAGGAGATGGGAGGGCCAACACTATTATTACTGCTAGTAATAATGTGGTTGATGGGCGCACCACATTCAACTCAGCCACTGTCGGTGAGTAAATTCATTATTAAATACTTGATGATATTATTTCAACTTTTACCCATGTTTGCTACACTTTTCAAACTCATATTTGTTTTAATATTAACCATTCAATTTAAAATTCAATCTTATTCTATCCAACTCATAACATTTAATAATTATTTTTCTCAATAAAAGTTTATAAATTAACAAAAACACTCATACCCACCTAACTAATTACCGACAACCGACCATCACTGTTGGACAGTGGCCGAAAGTTGCTGTAATGGCGCACAACCAAATGAATCTGCCTATCATGTGTCAATCTGGCCGTTTCTAACCAGATCTACCATGGATCTGATCAGAAATAGTCTGATCTATGACCAAAGATCTGGCTATTGACAACGGCCAAATCTTTGCCATTGCGATGACAGTCGATCACCACCCGACAGTGGTGATCGACTATCGACAATCAATTAGGTAAGTAGAGGTGTTTTTGTTAATTTATAAACTTTGATTGTTGAAGATGTTTATCTAAATTAACAAATGTAAGAGGTTAAAAAATACTCTAAATATTTTTCAAAAATATACCAACAACATTCTCATAATCGTATTCTATACTATTCGGAATAGAATACTATTTTAAAAAAGTTAAACAAATGGATTACCTTTTTTTAAATTGATTTCCTGTTTAAGTATAGTTTGGTATGTAATGGAGAACGTGATCTTGATATTCCTCACGTTTAAATATGTAAAAGGTCAGTTTTTAATAGGACTAAGAAGAAGATACATTAATTGATACGATTAATTTGTCATGTCTTGGGAAGTATGGATTCTTCAATCAATAATGCTATGTTTATTCATGAATTTACTAACTATCTTACTAATATTTATAAATATAAAATATAGTAAGAGTATCATAAGTATAATATAGATACCATATATAATTTTAATAAAGATGAATAAAATAATTAGTAAGTTGGTGATTATAGCATAAGATGACTCTTCTTCAATTATAGTGCACTTCTCTCTCCCAAACCCAAATTAAAGGGCCCAAGACACGTGTTGCTGAGTATTGCTATACTTTTGGGGCCTTTTAGCAATTAAATTTTATCCCTGTGGACCTTGTTTCAAACGCTTTCAGTTTTCACACGCAACCTGTTTG